TTTTGAGTGGCATCTTTATGATTATTGTGGCATGTTTATGTTAAAAATATTTAAGGAGCTAAGACATGACTCTGGGGTTTTTTTTTTGCTTCTCTTTCATGCATGTTGGGGTTTTGGCTTTGACATATTATGGCTTACTCTCACTTAAAATGAAGGTTGGGGAGTGTATTTTACTGTTTTACGCATGTTTGGAGGCTTGGTTTCAGCTTCCTGTTGCTTTCCCTGGCTCGAAATGTATGCTACAAGGGAATTTATTTAATTTGAAAAATGCTGTAGCTTGTTTTGAGGGCTTGACTTAGCTCCTCGTGATGCCTCACCCCTGTTCAAATATTTGTTGAAATCATATTTAGATATGCAGTTTGTTTCTTAGCTTTGGATGGCTCGGTTTTACCTACAGATGGTTGGAACTTTAATTTCTATATGAATTTATATCAATGCTGGGGCCTGTTTTTTTTAATCTTGTCGAGCTCTGACTTTGGTTTTGATTCTCGTCGAGCTCTGGTTTTGGCTTTGGTTCTCGTTGGGCTCGGATTGGCTTTAGTTCTCGTTGGGCTCGGATTGGCTTTGGTTCTCGTTGGGCTCGGATTGACTTTGGTTTTTGTTGGGCTTTGTTCTTTTTTTTTTTTTGATTCTTGTTGGTCTCGGCTCTTGCCCGAGAACCTGTTTTGGATGTGTTGTGTTGTCTCCATTTGAAGGCTGTTATTTGGTTTTGATGGATTGATTTGGCAGTTTATGGGGCTGCAATTTGACGTTTGCTTGGCGGCTAGCCGCGGGTTTGTGATGTGGTTGGATCAGCCTCCCCTTTTGGTCCTTACCCGTGAGGCCTATTGTAGGTCTTTGGGTGTGATTTGGTTTTCCTTGCTAGGCTTGGATCGGCTTGAGTGTTGTGGATGAATCAAGTTTGCCATCCCAAAAATTAAGATTACTTTAGTTGTCCTTCCGTGTTTGTCAGGGGAGTGTTGTAGTAGCTATTCGTGTGTCCTTCCGTGTTTGTCAGGGGAGCGTTGTTGTAGCTATTCGTGTTTCTTCTGTTTGCTTTAGCCGTGAGCCCCCTTTGTGCTTTGGGTTGCTGTAGTCGTGGGCCTTGTGCTTTGGAAGACCTCCGGTCTGTGGGCTTTTGCAGTTGTTCTTTGCTGCCTTAAATCGTGAGCTTTAACAACTCTTTTCTGGAGACCCTGACCGTGAGCATCTATGTGATTTTATGGGCAAATTTTGTGCTTATTTGATGCATGAGGACATCTATTAATTTGAAAGGCCGGAGAATTTCAATTTTAGTATAAGTTTGGAAATATTGACAGTGGTTTCTCCACGATCATTTTCTTTTGAAATACTATAATAACACCAACACCATAATAACAACATAATAATACCATAATAACACTAGTGTTATATTAATACCATAATAACACCATAATAATATTATAATAAAATCATGATAAAACCATAATAATGTTTCAATAACACCTCAAGAACACTAAAAGGACAACTTAATAAAACTTGAATAACATCTCCATCTCTTTAACAGTGTCTCCTCTTTCTCACCCCATTTTTGTTCTTGTTTTTCTTGCTTCTTGGTTCAGTTTTCGATGCTTATGTCCGATGCATAAGTGTCAACGTATAGCCTTTTGCTATTCGTGAAACCATCAGGCAAAACCTTTCCAGAATCGTGTTAGGTGGATTGCCTTCTCCTCTCTCTCTCTCGCCCCATTTTTATTTTTTTCTTTTCCTTGATTCTTGGTTCGGTTTTCGATGCTTATGTCCGAAGCATAAGTGTCCACGTATAGCCTTTTGCTATGCGTGAAACCATCAAGCAAGGTCGCAAGTAGTCGTTTTGGGGCGTATGGTGTTGATGATAAAGGCACACCGAAGTTAGAGCAGAAAGATGCCCTATCCTATAACATCAAGATCCAGACATTTGATGAACAATAGGATATACATAAGTCTAGCGGGAGTTGACTTGAACCTCCTTAGGTTGTTGGCGGTCCTATGCCTGGTAGCGTAATCGACTCGTGGAAAACAAAAAATTTTTTTTTTTTTAAAGATAAGTTTTGATAAACCATTTTCAAACGAAAACATACTTTTCGACGAAACAAAATTGATAACTCTTCTTTGCATGTTTAAAATTTGTGTGTATGT